TTTAGCCCAAAAGATTCCTTTTCATTTCACGATTTCCAAGGAATTAAATCTCGCAACGAATATAAAGGATCCTTAAAAAATATCTTCCCGAAATTTAAGAATGGTTGGTCAGATAAAACTAAACTAGGATACCAAATCCTTCATCAATATAAAGAAACACCAAGAAAAGCCCAAGATCTTCAGAAGATGATCATATAGTAGTATCGATTTTAAAGGTTTTAAATCAATTTATAAAACATCCACCAAAATTTAATCAATATTAGAAGATCCAATTATTACATATTTTTCACCAAATGGTAGTGAAATTTATTTTATCATTTTTAAATACATTTAGTAGATGAATTTACATTATCACCTCAACAAATAGATGATATGGAACAACAACAACAACAATTACAATTACAACAACAACAACAATTACAACAACAACAAGAAAAATTTGAACAAATTAATGAAAAAATAAATTCATTTTCACCATTATTAGAATCAGCCATTGAAAATTCAGAAAAAGAAAAACAAAACTCAAGTAGATTAAGAAAATACCTTAGATCATCAAATGATTATGTATCATTATCATTCGATATATTATTATCATTAATTATATTACCATCATCAGCAACAATTATAAATATAAATCAAAATCCAGAATTAGTTTTAACATTTATAAATGGTGATAGAAAATCAAATCTCTCAATATCAATCAATAATGAAAATATTTTAAAGATTAATAATTGGTTAAAAATCAATTTTTTATTAACAACTTTAAGATTATTACCATTTATTGAAAATAATTTATTAATTAATTTATTTAAAATTTTAAATAAAAAAGATCAAGAAAATGAAGAAAATGAAGAAAATCAAAATAATCATGAAGAAAATATAGATTTGTTAATAGAATTTGAAATTTATTATTTTAAAATTATTTGTGAACCATTTTTAAATTCAAAATCAATAATTGAAATAAATCAAGATATTAAATTAAATCAAAAAGAATTATTAAAAAAGAATAATAATATTAATAATAATAATAATAATAATGTTTCTTCACCAATTGGTAACTCTTCAAATTTTGATAATTCAAATTCAATATCAATAACTTCAAATAATAATAATGATAAATTTCAAAATAATGATATACCAATATTAAATGTACCACAATCAGATGAACAATCTTCCAATATGGTAACTTCAACAACAAATACTTCATTATCAACACTATCAAGATTTTATGAAGGTTCATTATTTAGAAAATCAAAAATACTTGGTAGAAAAAAACCATTATGGGTAATGTTGACTGATACAGCAGTAGTTGGATATTCAAAAAAAACAAATATAACTCATTCAACTTCATTAAATAATGAAATTAGTAGATCAATTTCAAAATCAAAAATTAAAACAAATAAAAATTTAGAAAATAATAATAATGAAAATTCAACAACAACATCAACAACTACTACTACTACTACAACTACAACAGCAACAAATAATAATAATAATAATAATATTAAATTTTTAGTTAAAATACCTTATACAGAAATTTTAGAAATTTTAGAAGAAAAGAAAAAAGCAAATTGTTTTTTAATTGTAACAGAAAAAAAGAAATATCGTTTAACTGCTCCATCAATTATTGAACAAAAAGAATGGATTCAACAACTTGAAAATATGGTAAAAACTAATGTTAAACAAGTTGATGATGCTTCATCTTCATCTACTTTTACCTCTCCAACTATTTCACCTGTAACTTCACCAAATTTAAAATCTACAAATAATAATACCAATCGTCCTAGAAATATTAAATTTAGTATTTCTCAATATATAAACTTTAAAAAAAAACAATAATTAAAATATATACAATAATAAAAAAATAAAAAAAATAAATTTTTTTTTTATTAATCTAATTTTATGTATTTTTAATCTATATTAATAAACTTTAGTATTAATGTAAATTAAATATTGGAACTTTTATAGTAGTGGAATTCATTAAATATATTGACTATTTTAATTTTTATTATTGCAGTAATAAATTTTCTACAATTACTTTAATTTTCTTTTAATAATCTTGATGTTTCACATTTGGGAATTTACTTACTCCTTTTGAAATGATTTCAAATTAATTTGATTTTTTTTTAATTTAAAGTTTTTTTTTTAATTTAAAGTTTTTTATTTTATTTTATTTTTTTTTAATTTTCATTATTATTATTCAAAAAGCAATTTTTTTTTTTTCATTATTATTTTATTTACATACAAATAACTATTTAAATTTATTCATTTATTGTAATAATCCTTACAATAATAAATTTTAATAACATTAATAAAAACCACCATTCACTATTTAATAATCATAATTTAAAATGGATTTATTATCTTTTTTTGTTTTTGTAGTTGTAAAATTTTTTTCATAATGGCTAACTTAGTTATTGATAAAATTTCAAACTACGGAAGTGTACTCGAAATGGAATACCCACGTCAAATAAATGCTAATTGAGTTTATTTATAATTTGGTTCCGAGATTTGATTCCGAGGATTCTGCATCATATCTTTTTTAAATAAGTGAGATTTAACTCTCGGCAAATATATGATTGGCTTACTTAATAAAAAATATATATTAATTTATTTCATTAATAAATTAGTTGAAGATAGCGGGTTATGGCTCAGACCCAATAATTGATACGATCCAGAATTTGATGACTAAAAGGATATCGGTTAATCATGATGTCTATGGCGATTAAATTAATAATTTACACACTTTATTCAATGTTTCATTTAATGAAATCGATAAAGTACAAATTATAAATTAAATAGTTCTATTCAAATATTTCAACTAACGATATCAATTACAGTTATCTTCATCATCCTAAAGTATAAAAGGAGTTCAAAAAATAACCACTGTCACATTCCTTTTACGAAACCCTCATATGAAAATAGCCAAGAATGATTGACAATTATAACCCATTTACTTTCAAATGAACAATCTAACTCAAAGTAGTAATCCAGAGGTATAAACACACTTTACAACCTTCTCATCAACAATCGTATTCCAATGCCACAATCTAGCAGTATAACAGCACTATTTTACAACACAAACCAAAACATACACAAATATTATATAACCATAACAGTTAGAATCAATCAATATCAAAAGTAAGTTAATTTTCTTTTAAATAATAATTTAAAATAGTAAACAATAATCAACGTATATATATGAAGATAGAATCAGAACTACTAACCAAAATATTTATATTAAATAATAGGATAATTAGCAATTATAATAATGTTTTTTTTTAATTTATATTTTAAAAACCGTTCAAATTTGCTCATACACATATTTGTTATTTTAAAATTAATTTTTTTTTTTAAAGTTAGAAGTAAAACAATCAAAAAAGTAGTTGATAAGATTTCTTCATAATATCTAAAATAGTTTTTTGGTGCTATAAATAAATCATTGATCAAACGTTATGAAATACCAGATATTTAAAACTATTTTGATTCACATATCACTCATTCACATTATCAAAAGATAACAAAACGATCATCAATATAGATTTTTTGTATTATATGTTTCAAAAACTCTCAAAAAATAGATTATCAAAATTATTAAAATAAATAATTTAAAAAAAAATTAAAACAAATAAATATTTAAATTAATTAAAAAAATAAACATAAAATATAAAAAAAAAAAATTTTAAATTTTAAAAAATAATAAAAATAATAAAAATTACTTGCCCTAAATGGTTTGAATATTAGAGGATTATTTTTTATTTTAAGATTTGCATTTGCATTTTCAAAAAAATCTTTTTTTATTTTTTTTTTTTTTGAATTTATGAAAAAAAAATTTTGTTATTATTATGAAAAATATTTAATATTATGAAAAATAATTAAATTTATTTGAAAAAAAAAAAATTATTTTCTTAAAGTATATCCATCGTTGGTATTAACATTAATGGTTTAAAAAAAAAAATTTGTTTAAAAAAAGTATCTTTTAATAAAAAATTATAAAATATTTAAAAATTTTTTAAGATTATTTGTTTATGTGTGAAATTTTTTTTTTTTTTTTTAATCAAATAATTTGTATCTTTTTTTTTTAAATTTTTTTTTTAATCAAAAAAAGATAGGGGTTTTGTTTTGTTTTGTTTTTTTTTTTTTTATAATTTTAATTTTTATTTTTGCACCATTACATCATTATGTACGTTAATATTAATAAAATCAAATATAACAATAAAAATAATTAAAAATATAACATCAAAATCACATGTGTTTTTTTTTTTGTTGTCGGTAGTACTAAACAAGTAGAGTGATATCGACATGATTCGTTAAAATTAAATAAAAATTTTAAAAAAAAATAAAAATTTCACCAGTATTGAAACTATGTAAAAATTGTGTAATGATTTTTCTCCGTCTGTTTGTAAAAAAAATAATTTTATTTTTTTAAATTATTTTTCTTTTTTTTTTTTTTTTTTGGTGTAACTTATTTTTTAGTTTTTTTAAAATTTTTTTTTTTTTTTTTTTCTTTACCCTTTGTGTGAAATTATATTAAACATATACAACATAAAATGAGTACCCAAAAGAAAAACGATGCCATGGGGTAAGTTTTTTTAATATAAATTAAAATTTATTATTTTAGTTTTTTTTTTTATTTTTTTTATGAACATATAATTATTTAAAATAATTAAATCTAAAAAAAAAAACAAATAAATAATAAATATTTATATAAAACTAAAAACAATTATTAATATTTTTTATTCTTTTATTATTTTAAATAAAATAGTTTTGTTAAAGATTCATTAATTGGTGGTACCGCTGGTGGTGTCTCAAAGACCCTCGTTGCCCCAATCGAACGTGTCAAATTATTATTACAAGTTCAATCAGCTTCAACTCAAATTGCTGCTGATAAACAATACAAAGGTATCGTTGATTGTTTCGTTAGAGTTTCAAAAGAACAAGGTGTCATCTCATTATGGTAGGTTTTTTTAGCAAATTGAAAAAATAATAGTGGAAATCATTTGGTTGTTATAAATATTATTATTATATAGCTTTTTTTTTTTATTGAACAAAAAAATTACGAAAAAAAAAAAAAAAAAGATATTTTCCAAAAAAAAAAATTTTTAAAAAAGGTTTTCACAAAAACCGAGTTTTTATAAATTTTTTTTTTTAGAAAATAATAATAATAATAACAATTTTTATAAAATCACTTTTTAATAATCAATATAATTATCAAAATATTAATAATTGTCAATTTTAATAAATAAATTATAGGAGAGGTAATCTTGCCAATGTTATCAGATATTTCCCAACTCAAGCTCTTAACTTTGCTTTCAAAGATAAATACAAGAAATTCTTCGTCCGTCACTCACCAAAAGAATCACCAGTTAAATTCTTCATTGGTAATTTATTCTCTGGTGGTGCTGCTGGTGCCACTTCATTACTCTTTGTTTACCCATTAGATTTTGCTCGTACTCGTTTAGCTGCTGATGTTGGTACTGGTAATGCCCGTCAATTCACCGGTTTAGGTAACTGTATCTCATCCATCTACAAGAGAGACGGTTTAATCGGTTTATACCGTGGTTTCGGTGTTTCAGTCGGAGGTATCTTTGTCTACCGTGCTGCCTTCTTTGGTGGTTATGATACTGCTAAAGGTTTATTATTAAGCGATCCAAAGAAAGCTTCATTCTGGGCTTCATGGGGTATCGCCCAAGTTGTCACTACTATCGCTGGTGTAGTCTCCTACCCATTCGATACTGTTAGACGTAGAATGATGATGCAAGCAGGTCGTGCCGATATCTTATATTCAAGTAATTATGGCAATTTAGTTATTTAGATGCAATCCTTTCTCTTTTCTAATCTATCCTGCACTTATTGCAATTCATTTTGGTGTTTTTTACATTATTTTGAAAATTCTCCGGGAAGATAATTTTTTTAAAAAATTTTAAAATTTTCGATTTTTTTGAAATTTTCATTTTTTTAAAATTTTTCTCCCACTCTCTTACTCTTTCCAAAAATTAATTTCAAATTATATATATCAATATATTAATATAATCTTTTTTCTTATTTTTTTTTCATTATAGGCACTTGGGATTGTTGGAAGAAAATCGCCACCAAAGAAGGTCCATCAGCTTTCTTCAAAGGTGCTCTTTCAAATGCTATCAGAGGTTCAGGTGGTGCTTTAGTTTTAGTTATCTATGACGAAATCCAAAAAATGCTCGGTTTCGAAGGTGGTGTTGGTTCAGAATAAACTAACTAGCTTATAAAATATAATAAAACATAAATACACACAATAAAATAATTTAAAAAAAAAAAAAGTAATATAATACATTATAATTATAATAGAAATATAGAATTATTTAAAATTTATTTATTGAAATCTCATTCCTCACTATTGTTTGTAATATTATTCATATACATTTTAATTAAATGAGAATATAAACAAATCTCAATTAAATAATATATTTCCTTTGTTTTAAATAATTTATTACACAAAATAAATTTTTTTTTTTTTATAACAAACCATAAAATAAATAGAAAGCAAAATTTTCAAATATAATTAATTATATCTTTTTTTTTAAAAATAAATTATCAAGCCACCAAAATTACAAAAATATTGTTTTATATTAATAAATCATTTTTATTTTTTTAATTATCTTTTTATGAATATTTTCTTGTTTTTATATAACCTAATTGAAAAGTTTAAAATTTATTAATATAAATATAAATTATACTGAAAGACGCAGAATGATGACGCAAGCAGGTCGTGCCGATATCTTATATTCAAGTAATTATGGCAATTTAGTTATTTAGATGCAATCCTTTCTCTTTTCTAATCTATTTCGATCTTTTTGTGCCCTTCCATACTATACTTCAATTCATTTTGGGTGTTATTCATTATTTTTAAACTTTCCCAAAGAAAAAAACAAATATTAAAAAACTATTCCTAATTTTTTTTTATTTTTTTTTTTTGAAATACAATTATATTAAAAAAAGTATAAAGTTTTTAAATTTAATATGCTCACACTAATATATATTTTAAAATTTCTTTTAAAATCAGAAAATTATTTGTGTAACTCTGAAAAAAGTATAAAAAAAATTAATACATCTTTTTAATTTTTTTTATAATTTTTTTTTTCTTTTATTTTTTTTTTTTTATTTTTTATTTTTTTTTTCTCTCTATAAATACAACATTTTTTTTATTTTTTATTTTTATAAAATATAATACTCTATAGTCTTAAATATACAAATACTTTAATTATTCAATCAATTTTATAAAAAAAAATGAAGTAAATATTTATTTTTTTTTTAAAAATATATTTATAATATAAAAAAACCAAATTATTAATATTTTTAAAATTTTTTTTTTTTTACAGTCAAAATAAAAGAACCAACAACCAAACCATTAGAAAAACTGTCGAAGAATTTAAATGGAATACCAAAGATTCTTCATTTAAAAATGTTTACAAAAATTATCAGGATCTTTGTAATCTTTTCAATACCCCAATAGAAATTTTCAATGACAATTTGACTTCCCTTAATCAAATTGAAAGAAAAACTGATTACAACAATTTTAACTTGCAGTTTTTTGGATGTAATGATGAACATATCAGTACCATTAAAGTCAGATCCATCTTTAGTAGCACCTATGATGCTACAAAAACCAATATTAAATGTAAAGAGTGTGGTACAAAGACCACTGTCAAACTTGTTCAAAATTTAAAAGATGCAGTTGCATCAAATAGATTTTTCCTAACACTAGAACAACTCAATCAGTATATTGAGAAATTTCAAAAATCTACTTGGCTTCAAATTAGAAAGGAGTCTTATCAACTCCCATGTGGTACTTGCAAGAATACCACATCAATATCATCTTATACCATCGAGTCGGGAAAGTTCCATCCTTGTCCAGCTTGTGATATAACAAAAACAGTTGGTAGCTTAATACAAAACATGACAGAATTTATAACAAGAACCGACTCAAGTATTACTGAGGAACAATTTGATCAGTTCAAGTTATCTCTATCAAGAGTAAGGGTTATTGACTACCCCACAGTTCCAATCGATATTAGATTTTCATGTGGCCATATAAACAAATTTAATGCCAACCAATTTGTTCACAGGGTTGAGGGATTATGGTCATGTAATGAATGTTCTGGCCCAAAATGCAGGGAGAGTCTTTTAAAAGGCCTATCTACACTTTATGATAATGGTTGTATATCAAGTTCACTCTATAGTATGGCAACAAATAAGGCTAAATAATTGGACACCGATGGGGTATCTCAATTTAAGATCACAATTATAAATACTGTTTGCAATCACTCAAAAGAATTGGTTGGTTCTCAAATTATAAAATTATCAGATTCCCATTTGGATTGCGATGAATGTTCAAAAATGGGTAAAGTTGCCTCCAGAATTATAAAAGGTATTGATTTTCAAATAGAATCCAAATCTTTCACGATTAATAATTATGAGGAGTTAGTTCAAGAAATTGGCTCATTGGATGCATATTCAATTCAATCATACGAATTTATTGTCAAACTACCATGTGGCCATGATCATGGTATCAAAAACTCTTTTATTTATTACAATGGTAAAAGAAATATTGATACTTTAGCAAGAGTGTTTTAATACTCTCGTAAAGAGTGATATCGAGCGAACATTCTTTACATTGTAATGGATTAGAGTAAAAATGATTAAATGAAAGACTGGACAGGTTAAACCCATAGTGATGGCCACACTTTTCTCTGGTACAAGCTATAGCAGTATCATTAATTAACTGAATTGGTTTTTGAAGAAGAGTTTCTATTGATTCATCTTGGTTGTAAAATATTAAACTGTTCATTTTCATATATGACTCGAGAAGATTTAAATATGAAATTGTTGAATTTTGAGGCTTACAAATTTGACATAAAAAATCAGAAAATTATTTGTGTAACTCTGAAAAAAGTATAAAAAAAATTAATACACCTTTTTAATTTTTTTTATAATTTTTTTTTTTTTTTATTTTTTTTTTTTTATTTTTTATTTTTTTTTCTCTCTATAAATACAACATTTTTTTTTTTTATTTTTATAAAATATAATACTCTATAGTCTTAAATATACAAATACTTTAATTATTCAATCAATCAATTTTATTAAAAAAAATGAAGTAAATATTTTTTTTTTTTTTAAAAATATACTTTTAATTTTAAAAAAAACAAATTATTAATATTTTTAAAAATTTTTTTTTTTTTACAGTCAAAATAAAAGAACCAACAACCAAACCATTAGAAAAACTGTCGAAGAATTTAAATGGAGTACCAAAGATTCTTCATTTAAAAATGTTTACAAAAATTATCAAAATCTTTGTAATCTTTTCAATACCCCAATTGAAATTTTCAATGACAATTTGACATCCCTCGATCAAACCGATATAGAAACCGATTATAGTAATGTTAATTTGGAATTTTTTGGATGTAGCAGTGAACATATAGGCACTATCAAAGTAAGCTCAATATTTAGTAGCACCTATGATGTAATCAAAACAAATATAAAATGTAAATATTGTGATAGAGAAAATCTTTTAAAAGGTTTATCTACACTTTATAGTAGCGGGTGTATTTCAAGTTCACTCTATAGTATGGCAACCAATAGGGCAAAGCAATTGGACACAGATGGAGTATCTCAATTTAAACTTACAATTGCAAATACTGTTTGCGATCACTCAAAAGAATTGGTTGGTTCTCAAATTATAAAATTATCAGATTCCCACTTGGATTGTGATGAATGTTTAAAAATGGGTAATGTTGCCTCCAGAATTATTGAAGATATTGATTTTCATATAAAATCCAAATCATTCTCGGTTAATAGCTATGAAGAGTTAATTAAAGAAATTAGTTTATTGGATGCATATTCAATTCAATCATACGAATTTATTGTCAAACTACCATGTGGCCATGATCGTGGTATCAAAAACTCTTTTATTTATTACAATGGTAAAAGAAATATTGATTTTTTATGTCAAGTTTGTAAACCTCAAGTTTCAACAATTTATTATTTAAATCTTCTCGAGTCATATATGAAAATGAACAGTTTAATATTTTACAATCAAAAGGAAACAATCAAAACTTTTTTCATGGCACCAATTAGGTTAATTAAAGATATAGCTGTAACTTTTACCAGAGAAAAATGTGGCCATCACTATGGGTTCAAACTTTCCAGTCTTTCATTTAATCACTTTTACTCTAATCCATTACAATGTAAAGAATGTTCACTCAATATCACTCTTTACGAGAGTATTAAAACACTTTTGAAAAAGTATCCATCATTGGAATCAAAAACCAATTTTGTTGAAATTAAAAAGCTAATTAATGAAAGTGAAGATGTAAGAAACATTAATTTTTATTTCCAAATGTCGTGTGGCCATGAAATCTGCATCAGTGGTAGTCATTTAATTAACTATAAATCGATTTCTCCTTGTTGTCCACAATGTAACCCAGATGATGAAAAATCATTAAAGTTTTCATTTTATGGTTTTAAAAGAGTCAATGTTGAACATTCACAACCAGAATTTATTTGTCCAAAAGGTCATATTATGGTTAATCCATCAAAATGGATATGTAGAAATTGCAATATTAGGGGTCAATATTATGAAAAATTGGTAATGGATGCTGTTAACAAATATTTACAATCTAATGAAATTTCAGAATATGTACAACTTTTGACACCAGAATCGTATTCATTTTCAGATTTAAATGGTTATTTTGATTTTTCAATACGTTTCAAATTGGATTCAACTAAAAAACAACTCTTAAAGCTTAATAATGAAGATCCACAAAAACAAAAAATTGTTGTTCTCAATTTCCAAGTTGATGAATTATATCACTTTTCAAAAAAATCAACAATTCAAAAAGACTCAAGGATTAACTATTACCATTCAATGAACCGTGGAAAAAATTTAGCCAGAATTTCCTACAGATTTATTGAAGAAATGTTTCATTATTGTTGTATTGAAAAAGCAATTCAAAACTTTATTGAATGTTCAATTTATTCAGTTATCAACTTCAAACAACATATTATAATTTCTGATGATATCTATGAAGAATTAGAATCGTTCAAAAATAGAGATTTTAAGTTCTTTAATTTATTTGATCTATTTTTGCTTGATGGTGAATTCCCATTAGAAAATTGGTCTTTAAAATTCGATTTTTCAAATTTATTAAAAAAATAATTCAATAATAAAACTTTATAATATTTTAATAATTATAAAAAATATCAAAATTTTTTTTTATTTTACCCTTTATTATAATAATTATATTTTACTTTTATTTTTTATGATAGTTGATGATTAATTAAAATCATTTATCCCCCTTTGCCTTAAATGAATATTGTGATGATTCGACATTAAAATTTGAAGGAAATTTGAAATGTTTTTTATTTTTTTTCTCGAAATTTAAACTAATGATAGATGAGTTGCCAAATAGTTTTGAAATATTTATATTTTTTAATGATGATATCTCAATGTATTCAACAGCTTGAATTTTTTTTGCCATTTCAATACCCTCTTCATATGTTACAAAATTTGATCTGTCGAGTTTATGGTCATCATATAAATCTATTTTGGTTCCCACTAAAATCACTGGTGCTTCAGGACAAAACAATTGAATTTCTGGATACCACTATTTATAAAATAAATAAATATAGTGAATAATAATAATAAAAAGGAATTAGTTAGTTTGATATAAATAAATAATCAATTTATTTATTTATTACATAATCCAAACATCTTTCAAATGATTTTCTATTTGCAATTGAAAAACAAAGTAAGAAACAATCTGTTTGTGGATAGCTCAATGGTCTAAACCTTGAGTAATCTTCGCCACCTAATTAATATAAAAAAATTACAATTATTAATAAAATATTATTTAAATAATATATACAATAACTAAAAAAACATACCTGCTGTATCCCACAAACTTAATACACATGGTATTCCTCGTTGTGACATATTATAACTATGATTTTCAAATACTGTTGGTATGTATTCAGGGAATGTTCCATGAACGAACCTTATAAACATGCAGGTTTTACCTACTGAAGTATCACCGATTGTTACTAGTTTTAATCGTTTAATATTTGACATTATTGTTATTTAGTATTGAAAATAGATAATAGTTTGTTGGTGTGAAAAAATTATGGAAATAATAAAAATTTTTTAAAAAAAATTTGTAAAACACAAAAAAAAAACTAATTTTATTAATCTATTAAAAAATTTGTTTACCAATCTAAGCCTACAATTTAGAAATAACCTTTCTTATTTATCTCTATTGAATAATTGATATGGGGTTGTAGTTGGATTAAATCATTCCTTTTTAATATTAATTAAGGTAATTTGAATATTTATTTCTTTAGAATTTGGTATTTTTTCTGGTATTTTTAATTAACTTTGATTGGTAGGTTAAATATTGCGAACTCATTAAATTATAAATTATAATTTTAATAAAAAATTGAAAAAAAAAAAAAAAAAAAAAAAAAAAAAATTTTTATTAATTTTTTTACAATTATTTTTAAAATTATTTAAATTAAGTTTGATGGAAGAATGTATCCAATTTTATTTTATTTTTAGAAAATCATAACCTTTTTCCCCCAAAAAATTCAATTTATCAACTCAAACCCTCTTGTGAAATGTTGACTGCCTATGGTAGATAACTTGAACCCAAAAACATTGGTATCCAACCACCACTTATTATATATCATTTTAATTCATTTTTCAAAATAAGAATTATTTTATAAAGCAATTTATATTGATCAACTCTTTTAAATCAAATAATTGATGTGTTTAAAAAAAAAAAATTTTAATTTTGATTCCTTCATGATTTTTATGAGGTTTTTATTTTTCGTACCACGAGTACCCCCACCCACACTTTTTTTAAAAAAATATAATTTTATTTTTTTTTATTTTTTTAATTTAAAGTAATTTACTTTTTTGGTATTTAAATGATCTACTAAAATTTGAAAAAGAAAATTAATAAAAAAATTATTGATTATAAAAATAAAAAATTAAAGTTTCTTTTATTTTTTTTAAAATATTTTTTTCAAAACAAACACCTTAAAAAAAAATCTCATATAAAATTTAATTTCTAGTCTTATAATAAATAATTAAATAATATTGGTTTATAATATATATTAAAAAAATAAAATGGATAATAACAATAATAATAATAATAATAATAATAATAATAATAATAATAATAATAATAATAATAATAATAATAATAATAATAATAATAATAATAATGTTAATAATAATAATAATAATAACAATACTAATAATAATAATAATAATAATAATAATAATAATAATAATAATAATACTAATAATAATAATAATGTTAATAATAATAATAACAATACTAATAATAATGTTAATAATAATGTTAATAATAATAATAATAATAATAATAATAATAATAATAATAATAATAATAATAATAATAATAATACTATTAATCCAATTAAATTTTTAAAAAGAAAATTAGATAATGCTAATGAAGTTTCCGTATGTAACATTAATTCCGAGATTGAATTACTCATTAAAAAAAAGGAAGAAGAACACAAAGAAATAATTGAAGCATTCCAATTACACACAAATATTTTAAATGAAAAAACATTAGAAGTACAAAATAAAATTCAATCCAAAAAGATTAAAATGTGTGAAGAAGTTTCTGAAATTTTCGAAAAATACCATTTAGCATCAAATGAGATGATTCAAATTAGTGAAGTCCATGCTAAAAACATTCAAAAAAATGAAGAATTACAATTTCATTTGGGATTACACAGAACACACAGTATTATTATGAAAAATAGAAATAGAGAAATTAAGGAAACCATAAGAGCTAATTTATTAAGAATAGAAAGTTTAAAAAGGGACATCCAATTAGAAGAAACTGCCAAAGAAAACTCTTATGACAGAATGGATGAATAAAAGGTGTTAATAAAAATTTTTTTTAGTTTAAAATATCTCTTTTTTTTTTTTTAATATTATTTAATATTATTCGATTTTTTTTTTTATGATAATTTTAATTTCTTTAAAATATTATTAATTATATTTATACCAGCAAATTGATAGATCTAATATTTTAAATAATAACAAATTTCCTTTTAAAGATAATCATTTGCATTTTTAAAAGAAGTATAAAGTTAAATAGTAAAACTTTTTAAAAGCAATATTAAAGTGTTAAAATAAAATATGAAAAAAATTTCAAAATAAATTTTTTTTTTTTTTAAAATTTTTTTTTTTTTTTGATTTCTTTAAAAATTTTATTTGAAATAATATTTTTAAAAAAAATTAGATCTAGCCACCAAAAATTTTTTTTAATGATCCAACAACCATCCAGGCTATTTTTCTATGGGAAGGAGAGACCTGGGCATGGTACATTAATTTGAAGAGTAATTTGACAAAGAACACCGTTTGGGTCCCATGGAGTAATAGCACTTACTACTTGTGGAGCAGAAACATCAGCACAAACTAAATTAAGGTATGAGTTTCTAGTTTTTGAACCACCACAGATTTTTTTTGGATTACCTGAATATTTCAATTGAATGCCAGTACCTGGAATATTGCTTGGGAGTGGTGCAGTGATTTCTCCTCTTGAAAAACTGCCGAATGAATAAATTGTATTGGTTGTAGAATTTGTTGAACAAATTGATGATCCTGGATCTACAACTGAACAATAAGATGCTTCACCACAAAAATTAAATGTAATCTGCATTAAAAATATTATGAGTATAAAATTAGAAAAATGTAAATAAAAATAAATAAAAAAAAAACCTACTTTTGTATTTTTAACATATGGTAAATTGTATACATATGGGGAAACAGTAGATCTAAAAAAAATAAAACAAGTATCGGGTAAGTATATGGTTATGGTAATAATGAATTTGTTTATATAAATTTTTATATTTACAAATCTAAGGCTGAAAAGTTGAGTGTACTGTTATCTGGAAGTTGAAATATACATGAGGAAGATTGTGCAAATACTTGAGAAATTGAAAGTAAAGCTAAAAAAACTGTAATTAATAATCTCATTTTTATTTATAAATAAATTAGTGTTAAAAAAAGAAAAACAACGCTGGGTTTTAAATTTTTATTTTATTTGTGTATTGATTTGAATATATTCAAAGAAATTGGGAAAGGTAAAAATGGTGGCTAAAAAAATTTTAATTTTTTTTTTTTTCAATTTTTTTCATTTTTTATTAGAAAAAAAAAATTTTATAAAAAAATAATAAATCAACTTTTTTATTATCATCGCACATATATTATAAATGATGATAAAAAAAAATTGTGAAGCCTGTATTTGGTGAAGGTTGATCATGATATTACACTTTAATAAAATAAATTAATTATCGATAGAACACAGTTATGCAAAGGTAAAGCATTTAAAATAAATATATTTTTTAGTTTTTGTAAAATATTAAATATTTATTTTATGTTTTGTGATTGTGACTGTGTTGGTTCTTTCTTTTGTTTGTGTCATTTTATTGGGTTTTTATTTTGGTTTTGCATAAAAAAAAAAAAAAAAAAAAAAAAAAAATATCTAAAATTTTATGATCACAAAAAAAAGATGTGACAAACTAACAATCATTTGTTAAAGGAAGAGGGTTTAATAAATTTGCATTTGTTGACAGTTGTATTTTGTATTGTTTTATATTTATTCTTTATTTATTTATTTAATATCACTTTTTTTTTTTTTTTTAGAAAACTATAAAAATGTTAATTTTTTTTTTTTTTAATCATTAAACAAACAAATAAATAAACTAAATTAAACAAATAATTAACATTTTATAAATAATTAATATTAATATTTCAAATTCCAAAATGATTAGTGTTAAAGATGAAGAAATCAGTGTTCCAGTTGGACCATTATTAGCATCAAGCCGTTTTGTCAAAGTCCAAAACTTTACTAGCGATAGTAAAAAAAATCCATTTTTCATTACCCAATTAAATGGAGCCGTCTCTGTTTCATCAAGCATTAAACCAAGAAATCAATTATTCCAACTTACTGAAGATGGCCACATTCTTTCTCAAATTGGTAATAAGGTATTTGATCTCGATAGTAACAACAATGTTATCCTTAACCCATGGAATTCATCAACCAGCAGCAGCAATCTTCAAATATGGGTTTGCCAAAGTAATTATATCATCAATAAAAACAAAAATCTTTACTTGGACATTAATAGTGATAGTAGTTTAAGTGTTAAGAGTAAAAACTCAAGTTCTCAAACTCAACAATGGTATTTTGGTCCAACCTACCCACTTGTTCCAATTCTCCAAGAAAAGCCACAACCATTCCCAGCATTCACAGGAAATCAAGAAAACGCTTATGTATGGATTAGTGAAAAAGTTGGTAATTGTGCATCTCTTAGATCTCAATATGTTTATGTAACACTTGTTCCATCCTATGCATCAGAAGTTAAAAATTTACAATACCCACCAAATGGAGTTGATAATGGCACACCGGTCAATTTCAGCTCAAGTGACTTCAGTGCTGTTCAAACCGAACTAATTACCGAATTGAATAGAGCAACAAGTATTATCAATTTATTCAACTCCTATCAAGTATTCCACCAAAATTTATTCTCTCAAACTCAAGCTCTTTTAAGTAAAATTGAAACTGCTGCTAATTTAGAGTCTGGATCAACTACTGAATTTGCCACAGGCTGGATTCTCACTTTATTTAGTGGTTTAGTATGCACTATTATCGATATTGTCCCAGAAGTTGGCCCACCAATCGCAAATTTAATTCAAACTGGTGTTGATGTTACTGTAGAAGTTGTCGATGCCTACCAACATAATGTATTCAATGCCAATCCATTCCAAGTTGCATTATATGGTTTATGGGACTTATTAATTAAAAACTTTAACACCTTATCAAAGACTATTGATGGAATGCAAAAGGACATTCTCTTAGATTGGGGTAAAATGACTAATGTTTATCAATGTATGCAACTTCCACCAGGCCCAGCTTCACTCTGTTGGACTGCCACCACAAACTCTGAATCACTTTCACCTGCTTTACAAGCCAATGGAATCTCATTATGTCAAATGTTATTACCATCCAAATACCAAATCTATGTAATCACATCAAACAGTGATAAGCCATCAGTTAAAATCCCAAGTTTCTGCAAATGGAAGAACAACAATCTCATCTACTTCATTGCTACCACCAATAGTTATTCAATATTCCCAACCTCTGAACTTATGAACAATGAAATTTGGGGCCAAAAAGTAACTTTTGAAGATTTCTTTACCTCTAAATTTGGTTGGAATTTCCCAATTGCTTATTTTGGTAGCAGTGGATTCGTAACTCCAACTTTCTCTAATAACTCTAGTGTTCCAATGAAAGTTAGTATTCAATTTAATTCAAAAACTACCAGTTACGAATTACACACCTATTCATCATTCACCTATATCTATGATGATGATTCACAACCAGAATTAGATGATAACTTTACTGTAACCGTCAACGACCTCAATGGAAACCAAATAACAACCTTTAAAATCGCATACGACTCCAATGGTATTAATTTCAAAAATGATGTTACTGCTTCTGGTTATCAATTGGGTACTCCAGTCATCAATGGTGATGGTAGTGATTATTCATCTTCAATCAATGTTTCAATCAATGCAGTTCCAGCTCCACTTTCATTAAAGAAAAAAACTAAACAATAAAAAAATAAATTATATTTTCTTCTATTAATTTATTTTTATAAAATTAAAAAAATAAATTTATCATTTTAACAAAAAAAAAAATATAATTTATATTTTTTTATTTGAAATTTTATTAAAATAAATTATATAATGATAATAAAAGAAATATAATATTCAGTTATTTCTTTTTTTTTGTTTTATTTAAAATTTGGAATGAGGATGACATAGTTTTTTTTGGTGTCTAAAACCAAAATTTTTCTTTGCACCCTCCAACAATATAACATTTTTATATATTTTTTATCTTTTTATGTAAATTATTCTCATAGTATTTGACAATATTAAATTCCAACAAGAAGTTATTTCAAAGAAAAAAAACATGAATTTTAATACTATTAGAAGTAGAATGATGATGCAAGCAGGTCGTGCCGATATCTTATATTCAAGTAATTATGGCAATTTAGTTATTTAGATGCAATCCTTTCTCTTTTCTAATTTATTTTGATGCACCATTCTATACTATCCTTCAATTCATTTTGGATTTTTTTTGTCATTATTATATATTTTTTTGAAAGATAATTTTAAAATTATTTTTTTCAATTTTACCAAACATTTTTTTTTAATATATTAATTTCAAATTTCAAATTTTAAATAAATAATATAATCTTTTTTTATTATTTTTTTTCTTTTCATTATAGGCACTTGAGATTGTTAGAAGAAAAGTGCTACCAAAGAAGGTCCATTAGCTTTATTAAAAGTTCTCTTTCAAACGTTATCAGAGGTTCAATTGGTTCTTTATATTTAGTTTTTTATGAAGAAATCCAAAAAATGCTTGGTTTCTGAAGTGGTTTTCGGAATAAACAACAAGATGATAAATATAATAATAATTAATATCAATTTAAAATTATTTAATAATATTTCTTTATTTATGTGGTAATTATCATCCATTAATTAAAGAGATGAAACTTTAGAGTGTTAATTTTTTTTGCCAATGTAATATAAAAACTCTATATTTCCTTTGCCATTTTAATAGTTTTTATTTCTGTTGTCATGAATCATTTTCAGTAAAAAACTATGAAAAATTAGTAAAAGATATTGGTTCATGAAAAATGAACTTCTAATAAACTAATTTCTTTTACTATTTATCCATGATTTATTACTGAAAATGATTACGAAAGCTTCAATAAATTTGCATCAAACTGATGCATATTTCATGACATCTGGAAATAAAAGTTGATGTTTCTTACATTTTCACTTTCATTAATAAACTTTTTGATTTCAACAAGATTGATTTTTGATTCCAATGATGGAGTGATATCGAGTGAACATTCTTTAAATTGTAAATGATTAAATGAAAGACTGGACAGGTTGAAAGCATAGTGATAGCCACATTTATCTCTGGTACAAGTTATTGCAGTATCTTTAATTAGCTGAATTGGTTTTTTTAAAAGAGTGTCAACTGTTTCATCTGGGTTGAAAAATACCAGACTGTTCATTTTCATATATGATTCCAGAAGATTTATATATGAAACTGTTTAATCTTGAGGTTTACAAATTTAACATAAAAAATCAATGTTTCTTTTGCCATTGTAATAAATAAAAGAGTTTTTGACACCATGATCATGGACACATGGAATTTTCCAGACTCGATGGTATACGATGATATTGATGTGGTATTTTTGCAAGTACCACATGGGAGTTGATAAAACTCCTTTCCAATTTATAGCCAAGTAGATTTTTGGAATTTCTCAATATACTCATTGAGTTGTTCTGGTGCTAAGAAAAATCTATTAGATTCAACTGCTAGTTTTAAGTTTTGAACAAGTTTGACAGTGGTCTTTGTACCACACTCTTTACATTTAATATTTGTTTTTGTGGCATTATAGGTGATACTAAAGATGGATCTGACTTTAATAGTACTGATATGTTCACCTTCACAACCATAAAATTGCAAATTAAAATTATTACAAAGATCTTGATAATTTTTTGTAAACATTTTTAAAAGAAGAATCTTTGAACCACACTCTTTGCATTTGATATTGGTTTTAGTAAGACTTAGGATTCTATTTGACCACACTGTATTCTTTAATAAATATGTTAAAATTAATAAAAATAAATAAATATAAAAAATCTAATATTTACCTCTTTTGAGTTTGTATTTTTATAATAATAGTAATAATAATGAAATAAGTTTATTGGCAAGTCTATCACCATATTCTTAATCGGTTTTTTCCTAAGCATTAGTATTGATCAAATTGACCCTTCTCAATGGCTGATATAAATAATTGTCTCTTTTATAAACACTGTTATAAGAAAAAAATAATTTTAAAAATTAATAAAATTATTTATAAATAAAAAAATAAATAAAAAAATACTATATTTATTACCTCTATTTGTATTAATAAATTTTTTAATAAAGATTATATAAAAATGAAAACAAAAATAATAAATATTTATAAAAAAAATAATTTTAAATAGAAAAAAATTTTAAAAAAGAAATATTAAAAAAAAGTATAAAAATGACAAAGTTCAAAAAAAAAAAAAAAAAATTATTTTTTAATTAAAAAATAAATAAATAAACTTTTCCAATAATTATTTCTTGATGATACAAGAAGTTCATATTTTAAGATATTTAATAAAAATATAAAATATAAAAAATCTATATACAGTTATTTATTTTTATTTTTTTAATAAAAAAAGATATTTTTGCTTTAGTTATAATAAATATGATGGACCAAACATGTTTAATTGTATACCTTCATTTTTCCTGAATCTTGGTTACAGTGGTTGTGGTTCCGACGCATACCAAATTATTTGATAACTATTGATAACTATTTATAACTTTTAAAAAATAGTAATAATTTTTGATCACTTTTTTTTTTTATAAACTTTTTTTACGCTATTAAAACTTTAATTTAATCAATCAAACAAATCGAAATTTTATTTATTTTTCTTTTTCCTATTACATTTTTTTTTTTTTTTTTTTTTTTTTTTTTTTTCCAATTTTAAAAAAAAAAAAAAATTCCTTTTTTTTCAATTTTTTTTTTTTAATTTTTAATTTTCCGTTTTTAATTAAAAATTTTATAAAAGGGAAATTTTAAAAAAATTTAATAATTCAAAAAAACTAAAATAAAAATCTTTAATAATAAACCAAAATTTAATTTTAAATCATTTTTTTCCCCGCCCAATAAAAATTTTAAATAATAAGGAAAATGGAGGGTTTATAGGAAACTTGGGTCCCTTTTTTTACCCCCAGATTTTATTTTCCTTTTTTTAAAAAGATATTTTCAAAGAGTTTCCAAAAAAATTCCCATTTAAAAAAACCGGGGTTCGTTTTTAAGAACCTTTGGTTAAAAAACTTTGG